ATACAAACATCTCTCTCTCACGCTTACATCCTGATTCACTCATTCTCCGCTTCTTAGCCTCTCTCTCTTGTAATCTTCTGTTCCCTCAGATTCGCTCTCTACTCGCTTGACGTACGCGTCAATACATCGAATACTCTTCGATCTCACGGAACAGATAATAATATATATATTAATCACGTTTCATATAAATAATGTATTTAGGGGCCATGCATTATTATTAAAGGTACGTAAGTACTTAACGAGCCATTAATACGTTGAGTGGTGATAATAGCTCTAAGTAGTTATTCCATGATGTAAGGATTAACCATTTGTATATACACTAGTGAATGCATTATAATATTATATTGAAGACAAAGATATCTAAGAGCTCTTCGTAATAAGAAAAAATAGAATGTAAACATAAGTATAATTGAATATGTAGAAGCAGTAATCTATTATATGTAGAATTGAGATTATTATTTAATCAAGACTGACACTTACTTTATATGTAGCACAACCAAGCTAGCACAAATTCGAAATAGGAACATAGTACAATTAATCTAATCTTGACGCAGAGACCAACACGCCGAAACCTGCAATGCACAGTATGTGCTTGCAGATGTCCGTAAAGACTAATGGACTCCATTCATCAACTGTGCACATTATTATGACTGCACATAAGAGCAATATAGTCATGTATGTTATTAAAACTTACCACAGCTAATAAGTTATGTGAAACAAATGTAATAATAAAAGATGGTAACTAGAGATATTTTAAGATGACAATTAAGGAAAGGAATAAAGAATAAGATGGTCAGCGAGGACAGAAAAATATGTAAATATATCTTAAAATAAGGATTAAATTATAGCTCAGGGATAAATCACAACTTCCTCTAAGTGAATGATAAGGGAGTGGCTGTTGACGTAAATCAACTAAAAAAGGCACTTATAACGTGTGTTGTGGATGCGCTGTTATGCTCTGCGATATATTAGACTCTAATTGCATAATAGTGACGCGCGACGTAACTAATTTCTCTTAGAGCTGTTATCCATGAAAGTATATTTCCGTTGTTTGTACTGAGGTTATAATGGATAATAGAGTGGAAGGTAAAACTTTCCATAAGTATATTACTATATTTCGACTAATCTTACTTTGATCCTGTATAAGCTGGACACTATCTCGTATTTAAACAAAAACGTACTTAGCACAAATGACAGTCAACGAGATCGTGTACTGATGACACTTATGGCGGGCGCTCCTGTAGAGTGTGGATAGGCTGAGGGCTGAGGGCGACCTTAATTAACTTAGCTGACAATAAGAGAGTGTTTGACTATTTACACTTTTGTTCTGTTGTAGATAATGTTACTGATTATACAGCACACCGCTTATTCACACAGAAATGAACATTTTTTATTCAGATCATATTTTTTTTATATGTTGATTTGATAAAATTGCGTGTTCCGTCTTTTCCTCAAAATAACATTTTTTCAATTTATCATCTCAGTTTTGATTTTGATCAATGACAGCTGCAATGGTATTTGTTCATCACTTTAACTCATGCACAATATATATTGTCTACCGTATAGCTTTGCGTTCGTTAGTCTCTCTGTTTGAACACAAATTAATTAAGGCTCACCGCGTATTCGGGTTAAGATCTGCTATTACTATCTGCTTATTATCTCATCATCGCATTAGAAAGCGAGTTTATTCTATTATATACGCCATAGGTATTATCATCTAAACTGAATTAATACAACGACGCTAATGACTCTCGAATCTTGATAACTAACGCATACCCGTGCTACCTTATTTTACTGCATTTTCTTGCAATCGGTAAAGCAAATGTGGTGACCTGTTTGGCCGGGGAGGGGGGTAGGAGGTAAGTGTGTGGTGCGTGGGGGGTCTGGGAGTAGTGGCTGGTTCCGTTTTATAGCTCCGTTTTGCTATGCCTTCTCGCTGGCCCTTGTATTCTGTCTCTTGTCTCTCGTCGCTTCTCGGCTCCGCCTCTCCCGCCTCATCACTCACCACGCCCTCCTCTCAGCCCACAATTAACGCACGGCGTTTATTTGAAAAAATGCTGACGAAAATGAGCTACAGTATTAGCAGACGGAGAGAGCGACTTCGAAGGACTGTATTGCAAGATATGAGCTGTATTCTCTAGTAGAGTGAAGCGTATATATATGTAATGTTATATATATCATAGTGATATTAATTGGTAAATGTTAATATATATTTATTATGATTACCAGTAATATACATAAATGACTGTGTCGTCGCTGTAGCTGTATGCTCGCTAGTGTGTGCTCGTGCTGATGGTCGCTTGATCGCTGTGTGATGTGTGTTGTGTATTGCACTATATATATTATATTATAATTATTTATATAAATATATTATATATAATATAAATATAATTAACCTGAATATAATAATATATGGTTTATATATCATAATATATATTGTATATGTATAGATAATGTATTGATAATATCCCGCTTATGAATGTAATAATATATATGGATT